CCCCCATTCGTGCACCCCCATTCATGCACCCCCATTCAAGCACCCCCATTCATGCAACCCCATTCATGCACCCCCATTCATGCACCCCATTCGTGCACCCCCATTCATGCACCCCCATTTGTGCACCCCATTCATGCACCCCCATACATGCACCCCCATTCATGGACCCTCATTCATGCACCCCCATTCATGCACCCCCATTCATGCACCCCCATTCATGCACCCCCATTCATGCATCCCCATTCATGCAACCCCATTCAAGCACCCCCATTCATGCACCCCCATTCGTGCACCCCCATTCATGCACCCCCATTCAAGCACCCCCATTCATGCACCCCCATTCATGCAACCCCATTCATGCATCCCCATTCATGCAACCCCATTCATGCACCCCCATTCATGCACCCCCATTCATGCACCCCATTCGTGCACCCCCATTCATGCACCCCCATTTGTGCACCCCATTCATGCACCCCCATACATGCACCCCCATTCAAGCACCCCCATTCATGCACCCCATTCATGCACCCCCATTCGTGCACCCCCATTCGTGCACCCCCATTCATGCACCCCCATTCGTGCACCCCCATTCAAGCACCCCCATTCATGCACCCCCATTCGTGCACCCCCATTCATGCAACCCCATTCAAGCACCCTCATTCATGCACCCCCATTCATGCACCCCCATTCATGCACCCCATTCATGCACCCCCATTCGTGCACCCCCATTCAAGCACCCCCATTCATGCACCCCCATTCGTGCACCCCCATTCATGCAACCCCATTCAAGCACCCCCATTCATGCACCCCCATTCATGCACCCCCATTCGTGCACCCCCATACATGCACCCCCATTCATGCACCCCCATTCAAGCACCCCCATTCATGCACCCCCATTCATGGACCCCCATTCATGCACCCCCATTCATGCACCCCCATTCATGCATCCCCATTCATGCACCCCCATTCATGCACCCCCATTCGTGCACCCCCATTCATGCAACCCCATTCATGCACCCCATTCATGCACCCCCATTCATGCACCCCCATTCATGCACCCCCATTCATGCACCCCCATTCATGCACCCCCATTCATGCACCCCCATTCATGCACCCCCATTCATGCACCCCATTCATGCACCCCCATTCATGCACCCCCATTCATGCACCCCCATTCATGCACCCCCATTCATGCACCCCATTCATGCACCCCCATTCATGCACCCCCATTCATGCACCCCCATTTATGCACCCCCATTCATGCACCCCCATTCATGCATCCCCATTCATGCAACCCCATTCAAGCACCCCCATTCATGCACCCCCATTCGTGCACCCCCATTCATGCACCCCCATTCATGCACCCCCATTCATGCACCCCCATTCATGCACCCCCATTCGTGCACCCCCATTCATGCATCCCCATTCATGCATCCCCATTCATGCACCCCCATTCATGCACCCCCATTCATGCACCCCCATTCGTGCACCCCCATTCATGCATCCCCATTCATGCATCCCCATTCATGCACCCCCATTCATGCATCCCCATTCATGCACCCCCATTCATGCACCCCCATTCGTGCACCCCCATTCATGCAACCCCATTCATGCACCCCATTCATGCACCCCCATTCATGCACCCCCATTCATGCACCCCCATTCATGCACCCCCATTCATGCACCCCCATTCATGCACCCCCATTCATGCACCCCCATTCATGCACCCCCATTCATGCACCCCATTCATGCACCCCCATTTATGCACCCCCATTCAAGCACCCCCATTCATGCACCCCCATTCATGCACCCCCATTCATGCACCCCCATTTATGCACCCCCATTCATGCACCCCCATTCATGCATCCCCATTCATGCAACCCCATTCAAGCACCCCCATTCATGCACCCCCATTCATGCACCCCCATTCATGCACCCCCATTCATGCACCCCCATTCATGCACCCCCATTCATGCACCCCATTCATGGACCCTCATTCATGCACCCCCATTCATGCACCCCCATTCATGCACCCCCATTCATGCACCCCCATTCAAGCACCCCCATTCATGCACCCCCATTCATGCACCCCATTCGTGCACCCCCATTCATGCACCCCCATTTGTGCACCCCATTCATGCACCCCCATACATGCACCCCCATTCAAGCACCCCCATTCATGCACCCCATTCATGCACCCCCATTCGTGCACCCCCATTCGTGCACCCCCATTCATGCACCCCCATTCGTGCACCCCCATTCAAGCACCCCCATTCATGCACCCCCATTCGTGCACCCCCATTCATGCAACCCCATTCAAGCACCCCCATTCATGCACCCCCATTCATGCACCCCATTCATGCACCCCCATTCGTGCACCCCCATTCAAGCACCCCCATTCATGCACCCCCATTCGTGCACCCCCATTCATGCAACCCCATTCAAGCACCCCCATTCATGCACCCCCATTCGTGCACCCCCATACATGCACCCCCATTCATGCACCCCCATTCAAGCACCCCCATTCATGCACCCCCATTCATGCATCCCCATTCATGCACCCCCATTCATGCACCCCCATTCGTGCACCCCCATTCATGCAACCCCATTCATGCACCCCATTCATGCACCCCCATTCATGCACCCCCATTCATGCACCCCCATTCATGCACCCCCATTCATGCACCCCCATTCATGCACCCCCATTCATGCACCCCCATTCATGCACCCCATTCATGCACCCCCATTCATGCACCCCCATTCATGCACCCCCATTCATGCACCCCCATTCATGCACCCCATTCATGCACCCCCATTCATGCACCCCCATTCATGCACCCCCATTTATGCACCCCCATTCATGCACCCCCATTCATGCATCCCCATTCATGCAACCCCATTCAAGCACCCCCATTCATGCACCCCCATTCGTGCACCCCCATTCATGCACCCCCATTCATGCACCCCCATTCATGCACCCCCATTCATGCATCCCCATTCATGCACCCCCATTCATGCACCCCCATTCGTGCACCCCCATTCATGCAACCCCATTCATGCACCCCATTCATGCACCCCCATTCATGCACCCCCATTCATGCACCCCCATTCATGCACCCCCATTCATGCACCCCATTCATGCACCCCCATTCATGCACCCCCATTCATGCACCCCCATTCATGCACCCCCATTGATGCACCCCATTCATGCACCCCCATTTATGCACCCCCATTCAAGCACCCCCATTCATGCACCCCCATTCATGCACCCCCATTCATGCACCCCCATTTATGCACCCCCATTCATGCACCCCCATTCATGCATCCCCATTCATGCAACCCCATTCAAGCACCCCCATTCATGCACCCCCATTCGTGCACCCCCATTCATGCACCCCCATTCATGCACCCCCATTCGTGCACCCCCATTCATGCACCCCCATTCATGCACCCCCATTCAAGCACCCCCATTCATGCAACCCCATTCATGCATCCCCATTCATGCACCCCCATTCATGCACCCCATTTATGCACCCCCATTCATGCACCCCCATTCATGCACCCCCATTCATGCACCCCCATTCATGCACCCCCATTCGTGCACCCCCATTCATGCACCCCCATTCATGCACCCCCATTCAAGCACCCCCATTCATGCAACCCCATTCATGGACCCCCATTCATGCACCCTCATTCGTGCACCCCATTCATGCACCCCCATTCGTGCTCCCTCATGCACTCGCCATTTACGCATACCTCCACGCTCCAGAGCGCGCTGTATCCTCACGGGGGGGACATGAGGGGGGGGTCATGCCATCACACCAACCGTTTGAGATCACTCAAATTGTGCTCCACTCCTTTACCCCCGTGGTATCCAGGAGGATCCACTTCATTCCTGCACTGCACTGCATGCAGGCAGTGTGTGCCAGCCGCCACCCAGCCTCGTGTATCTTAGCTAGATTGCGCTCCATTGTTTTATCCCCCACTCCCTTCCCCCCCTCCCCTCCACCCCTTTCCCGCCTATCCAGGGTCCACTAAATCATCGCATGGAGGCCGTGTGTGCAATCTACGCCATCGCAGAGCTGTTCCCCATGAAGCTCTTTAGTCATGGATACCCGCTCATGTAGACATGGTCATATCGCATCGCATTATATCGCATTTTGCGATTGCGATTTTTATTTTTATTTTACAAATATCGCGGCGATGCGATGCGATTATATCGCGCGATTTTTGCGATATTGCGTTTATATCGCACTTTTTTGGGCGCGATAAAATGCGATGTGCGATATTAAAAATCGCCCGCGATATTTGGAGCTCGCCAATTTTTTTTTGCTGTTTATTTATTAGAAGCGACTTTGTAATGGTGTGTTGTGCCCCTGTTTGAAACCCTTCGGCAGTTCCCAGTTATCTAACTATCCAAATTGCTGCTGTATTTTATTTAACCCTGAAATTTAGCCCTGGCGATGCGATATTTTATCGCATCGCGCTATATATCGCACTCTACAGCGCGACATTTACAAATATCGCACCTAAAACGCGATATGCGATTTGGGGTTTTTTTTTTTTTTTTTTTTTTTTTTTAAATTTATCGCGGCGATGCGATATCGCATCGCCGCGATATAATGCGCGATGAGTCAAAATGCGATGCGATATCGCATCGCATCGCATTTTGACCATGTCTACGCTCATGCAACCCCCCTCCCCCCCCCCCCCTCCTCCCCCCCTTCCCCACACTATCCAGGGTCCCCTGCACTCTCGCGTGGAAGCAGTGCGTGCAGGCTACGCCATCTTCCAGCTGCTCTCCATTAAGCTCTCATACATGCACGCACCCCCAATCTGCGTATCCCCCTCTTATGCTATCCAGGGCCCCCTTCACTCCCGCATGGAGGCAGTATGTGCTGGGTACGCCATCGCACAGCTGCTCTCCATGAACCTCTTTTGTCATGCATACCCATGCATGCACCCGCCCTCCCTTCCCCCCCCACCACAACACTATCCAGGGTCCCCTGCACTCTCGCATGGAGGCGGTGTGTGCAGGCTACGCCATCTCCCAGCTGCTCTCCATGAAGCTCTCTCCACCAATCGTCGATGCCGTGGGCGTGCCACACCCCAACTCCTCCTCTGCTGCTGCTGGCGCTGCTTCTGCTGGGAGTGGCGGTGGCAGTGTGCCTGGAGGGTCAGCAGCAGCGGGGGCAGGGTTGAGTGAGGAGGGAGTGCGGCAGCTGAGGCTGGCGGTGCTGTGGCTGCCAGACAGCGGTGTGTGGGATGCGCACTACGACGACCTCTTTCAACCGCTGCCGCTCTCGCCCTCCCTGCCTGAAGACCATGACCCATCCCACCATGACCCATCCCACCATGACCCATCCCACCAGGATCCTCCACGCACTGCCTCCCATGCGGCTTCTGGAGGCACAGTGCTGATGCTACATGAGAAGCCGCCGTGGCTGCGCTCGCCACTCTACGTGGAGGGGGTGAGTGTGCCTGTGGTTCAGAGGGGTTACGGTAGGTAGTAGTAGCAGACAGTAGGCAGTTGTCTGTTGAAGCATGGACCTCACATTGTTCCCTCCAGCGCTGCTGCAGCAGAAAGGGCCACGGCTTGGAAGTTGTATGGGATGCACTCTCGAATGCACCACTCTCTCTCCCCCCACTTTATGCAAAGGGGGCAAGTGGGCATTTGAGGCTCGCCGAAAGTTGTGGCTGCATTCCCTTTTTTACGCAGAGGGGATAAGTGCGGTTTTTTCAAGAGAGAAACATGAGTGGGCGGATTGCATGGCATCAAATGTCAGCTGAGGGGGGGGCGAGGGTTGCTCATTTCGCTGCTGTGTGGTTCATCAATATCGTTTTAGGCAGTTCAACCGCACAGCGTTTCTCGGTGTGACACGGTCAGCACGTTGCACAAGATGTTTGCACAATGGCTGCTTTTCCCTCATGGCATATGGGGCTGGCTGATTCTCTTGCTGTAATAGACTCAGTCTCGCAGCATAAAATTCCTAGACCACTAACACTGGTTTGCGCAATCCTTTCTGTCCGTATCTCTCCCATTTCCTGGTCGTCCCAACCAAGTATGCACCCTAAACTACAGAAGAAATCTCTGTCCTCCCACCCCCCCTCCGTCCCATTCCCCACCCCTTCAATCTGCCGATGCCACGTCAGAGGCTGGACCTTGACATCGTTCCCGCTCCGCCACAGCCACAGCAGCAACCACAGCAGCAGCCGCCACGTCAGCCGCCACGTCAGCCGCAGCCGCAGCACAACCCGCACAACGTGCAGCAGGCGCCGTGGCTGGTAGAGCCACAGCCGGCCTTCCCCACCCAACGCCCTCACCGCTACTTGCGAAGGCGCAGACGGCTGCTATCTACGGGCTCAGATAGGCGCCCGTCACAGGCGCCAGGGGACGCAGGAGAGGACCAGAGTGCATACTGGGGCAAGGGCGTGCAGCAGCGCAGCAGTAGACTGTTGACTTCTGCTCGCCTCCTCTTGCCGTCAGAGGAGCCTGAGGGTCAAGAGACTGATCACGGAGAGGAGAGCATGAGCACGCCACGGAGGCGACTGGCAGAAGCAGCAGCAGGAGGGGGGAAGGCAGGAAGTACCAGCAGTGCTAGTGGTACCCGCAGCAGTGCCAGTGCTGGTGGCAGTGCGGGTGGCAGTGGTGTGAACACGGTGACCGTGAGCCTTCACTTGCAGTCGTGGCTGCGACACGTTGCCACCAGCATGGACGTGGTGAGTGCACAGGGACACACACACACACACACACACACACACACACAGATGACTCCCTTAAGTCAACTCAAAAGTCAGCAGCATGAAAGTGGAGAGTGACAGCACACACACGCACAGATGACTCTTAAGTGAAGTCAGGAGTCAGCAGCATGTAAGTGGAGAGTGCAGGTAGCATCAGTGCAAGTAGGACCACTAGCAGTGGCAGCTGCAGTATTACTGGCAGACAGTGGTGCGAGCACGGTAACCATGGCCCTTCACATGCTCTCGTCGCTGCGACACATTGCTACCAGTATGGAAGTGGTGAGTTCTGGATTCACCCTGACTGACATGCTTCCCATCCAGCCATCACCCCATATGTAATCCTCCACCACCACCACCACCACCACCACCACCACCACCACCACCACCACCACCACCACCACCCACCACCACCACCACCACCACCACCACCACCACCACCACCACCACCACCACCACCACCACCACCACCACCACCACCACCACCACCACCACCACCACCACCACCACCACCACCACCACCACCACCACCACCACCACCACCACCACCACCACCACCACCACCACCACCACCACCACCACCTCCCCTTCCGGCCCCCACACTCCGTTCCAGAGGAGTTGACAGAGCTGCAGAGCTCAATTTTGGAGTAGCATGCCGCCACACCCCCTGTGCTTCACACTATTTGATGCCAACCCCCATTCTTTCTCCAAAAGCGCTCAACTCAGAGGGGTCAGAGCTCCAGGGCGGAGTGCCGCGGCGTG